TGAATGCAGGTTCATTCATGAATGGATAAACGATGCTGGGTCGTGGACGATTACACATCATTGTTGAATATACAGTCAATGTACACACGAACATGAATACAGGAAAATTACACACGACAGGATCAATACTTAGACAATATTTTTAACTGCCTTCTTAAAAGAAAACAATGTCCTAATGTTTCTTATTACAATGAGCAGAGAGTTCCAGATGTCCGGGCCTGCGTGTCTAATGGATTTGAGAGCCAATGCGGTTTTTGTATTGAACTTAAGAGATATAGTGGCGGAGCCTATGGAAAAGCATAGCTTGCTGTGGATAGGCTCCTTAAACTATACAAATGACATAATTATATGTTGCCATGGTATGAATTTACTCCCAAGGATTATATGTAATTATTTTCTACCACTCATTTGTTTAATATTTCACTTTTGGATGAAAGCAGCCTAATATTGCGAGTCTCTTCCCCGGCCCCACCCCCCCCCCACCCCCACTCAGTGTTATTTAGGGTACGATATGCGTATTCCAAGCGACCCCCCCCCCCCCTTTCAGCAAAAGTCCGGCCTGTAAATTCAAAACGGGTCGACCTTTTTCTTTTGTTATACGGGCCTTTTTCAGCACCCCCCCCCCCCTTCAACAAAAGTACGGTGTGTAAAGTCAATACGGGTCGACCTTTTTCTTTTGTTACGAGCCGGAGAGTTTTGGAACACGCATGGTATCCATCCGTTCACGGAGTGGGGGGGGGGGGTGTTCCTACTTAACTGTACACGACCTTTAAGTGCACTGCATCATTATATATTTAATCAGAATAATAATGAAAACATTACAATTTTAATTATGCCGTTCTTGTATCAATAGCGCATATCACATTACGATATAACGTAATATTAGTAATAATCATAGGCATTTCTATAGCGCCGTCGATCTTGAAATTCTATTCCGAGGCACTCTTATTATTACCCTGGCTTTAGCCTAGTTGCCATTACAGCGCTCCAGCATTTCAAGAAATTAATTCCTGCCAGGTACCCGGGTAAGCCAATCATGAGCATGATTGGCTCTCAAATGACTTTGAGTTATCATTACCCGGGATTTCAAATTAATCTGACACAAGCACTATACATGAAATCCTTCAAAGAAAAGCACTCAATACACCTGTCTTTCTATCTGAAAACCTAACCATTCTGGTGTACATGTCAAATGACTATTGACTGACAGCTGGAAAATACTTATTAAACTATTTCATATGTTTAACTGTTAATACGATGAGATGTGCACTTTAAGAGTTTAAATGATTATGTCTTATTTTGGACTATGTTATGCGCGCCTAAGCTGTTTTATATATATGCAGCACAATAATACTAGATAAATTACCCTCACAATGTCACATTTTTACCCTGTTTTGGTTCCATTAACCCAACATGCCTGTTCCCTTTTTACAAAATAGTAAGTTAATATTTACCTTATAATTTTAGAGTGTGCCCCATGGGTATATTGGCATACATACAACTAACTTTGAGATTTGCTCAGAAATCCCGAAGACCGGACAGAATATCTTATTCTCAAACTTAAATGTACACTGTAAACTTATTTTATTACGTACTTACTTATCAGTATTTCGTTACTTGTATAATTTATTTGTTCTATTATATATTGTTATACTCTATAGTTCATGTATTTATTTTAATTTGGGGAAGTTTGAGTGGGGAAAAAATCAAATCAAATCAATAACAAGCGTTTATTGTTACTTTCTACCAGCACAAAAAAAAAGGCCTCGAGTAAACTTGAGTAATATTCAATTACACTGCAAATTCTTTGTGTAACGACTTTACACAACGGTTGGGTGGTGTTACCCTTTACGCAGGGGTTTGTTAAGTTTTGTTGAAAAAAAACCCTTGTGTAATTTGTTTGTACACAATTTAACACAATCTCTGTGTATGGAGTGAACCACCCAAGTGTTGTGTTAAGTCGTTACACAACGAATTCGTAGTGTACTGTTAATCAATGTACTTTCAGGAAATACTTTACTTACCGTTTTATATTTACAATTATGTTCCATGTTTAGGCTTTTTTCGAGATATTCTTTAGAAGTCGTTATTGTTGCTACATTATTACTTTCTCATTTATTTAACAGTGCGAGTCAAGAAATAATTAATAATAATAATAGGCATTTTTAAAGCGCCGTCTATCTTGAAATTCTATTCAGAGGCGCATCAATGATTACCACAGCTTTAGCCTAGCTGTCATTACAGCGCTCCAGCATTTCAAGGAATTAATTCCTGCCAGGTACCCATTTACATCACCTGGGTCGAGTGTGGCAAATGAAGAGTAATGCCTTGCCAAAGGACATTAGTGCCGTATCGGGTATAGAACCACGACCTTTGAATTTCAAGTCAAGTGCTTAAACCACTCGACTACGACACTTATATGGCAGTATTCATGTCGCTTTTAGAGCTATACCTCTTTTTCTTGGTATCAATTGAGTCATTATTGCTTTATATTAGTAGCTGATTCCGTGGGGCGCAATGGGTGTCAGGTGTACATATACAAACACACAAACACCAGATCTTTGTAACCTCGTACCGAGGGCGAAAAGACAAGAGGAAATAGAAAGGCTAGAACAGGAAAGGGAGTTAGGAAACATGGACAAATGGGCGTGAGAATAAGATAAAATCACCTAGCTGCCACGTCTTACCTGTAATCGATGGTCTTGTTATATATATTTTATCCACAGAATTAGCCCGGTACCCCCTACAATCACATATGCACACACCCACACCCACACACACTTACGTTTTGCAAAAATCCCGCCCACAGTATCTTGGCCCTTGCCATGCTACTTGGTTTATGGCGAGAACCCGTTTGAAAAATTGAATTCGCCCACAGTTTGGTCTAACCATTCGCAGAAAACTCTTTTCATTGGTCGTGAATACAGAAATCCCCAAAGGGATTGAAAAGGTACTATGTCCCATCTGCAGGCCAAAGAAATGAATAGGTTAAATTCCAACATCATTTATACTAATTTTGAAGTTCCCTCAAAACGGAAGGGCTTGAAAATGTCTCTGATATGGAAACATAGCGAGAATCAGTTGTGGAATCGACTTTAGAGACTGCAATCAAGTTAAAGGGCCCATGACATCGAAATACAAGTGTGTTCCTGTTGGTGTTCAGTCCTGCATACATCTCATATTTTGATATGTAAAACTCTGAATTTGTTTCATAGATTTTTAAATATTTTTTGAAACATTTGTTTTTCAAACTTGCTAAGCTCCACCCCAAAAACCTCCAGATCTCATTCCCCTTGTGACATCATCTGTCAGTCATCAATGAGCTAATTTGAGAAAGTGGTATGTATCTATGCCGAAGTCGACCACCTGTTGAAGCATGCAATTATATTATGAACGTGTGCTAAGCTGGGTGAAATTACATACCATTGTCTATTCTAGAATATTAGTTTAGTCTGACATGTCTGACATAGCAACGTATATGTTGTTATTGTTTGTGGTAATCTAACAGGTGGTCGACTTTGGAAAAGTTACATGCCACTCTCTCAAGTCAGCTCATTGATGACTGACAGATAATGTCACAAGGGGAATGAGGTCTGGAAGTTTTCCGGGTGGAGCTTAGCAAGTTTGAAAAACAAATACTTCAAAAATATTTAAAAATCTATGAAACAAATTCAGAAGTTTACATATCGAAATATGAGATGTATGCAGGACTGCACACCAACAGGAATACACTTGTATTTCGATGTCATGGGCCCTTTAATAACAGTCTGATTTTCAGTCCCTTGTCCCGAATGTTCGTACGTTTTGTGATGCGCAAATATTCAATCAGTTTGATTTTGGCCAATACAAGAAGTGGGTTACTGATGTAGACAAATGCTCATTTACCTGTACGCAAGTTTATTACCACAAAAAAGTCAGTCACTCACTCAATAGTGTCTGACAGTGAAGTCTAGAACGTAAACGGGTTTCCTTTCATAATTTGAATAATAGGTCACAGCTAACGTTTGAGTTTTACAAATAGGACATACGTGATATATTCATAATTCCTGCAAAGTTATACAAATTTTGATGTTGGCTGCAAATGGGAAATATACCTTTAATACAGGACTTATTATGGGGTAACCGAATTATGTTGAAGGGTTGCATGGAAGGAAATCGGCGGTAACAACTATGAGTGAACTGTTTTTACTACTTTATGTAACAGACTTCAAAAAAACGAGATTACGATTGAAATATCCTCTCGTCTGCAAATGGAGACGCTATGCACGAATGGACAATTTATTAGGAAGTTTATTATACATGCAAGCGACAGCCGATTCTCGCCATACGTGCATGGAGCGAGCAATGAGCAGGGCGGAGTTATCACCGGGAAATCGTGGAGTTGATTTCTCGTAAAAGCGGACATTGCTCCAGCCATTAGGTGCGTTTTGTTTCTACTCACCGGGTAATTTCCGCATCTTTGGATAAGTGGGCTGCAGCAGTATCTGTTACATATATGTATGGATGACATGCATCATATATGTTTCCACAAGACTGGCTCATACAAGGTCTAGTCTACTCTTGACAGACATCAACACGTATTAACTAGCGCACCTGTGGAAAACTAGACCGGGAAACTATACGTGTATGCACCGAGGATGAATGCTTGCCTATGTAAGGATAAGCTTGATAGGCCCCTTCGAATTACTCTGTCGAATCTATGCGTAAATTGTACTGTATAACTTTTTTATAACATGGCTTGTGAGATCCTGTTAATTTGTGTTCGACTTGTATCTCTTTACTTATTCATTTTATTTGTTATAGTGTTGTATGTCGGTCGTGGTATATTGATGAAGGCTCTAGACTTTCATACACGGGGTCCCAGGCGTATTAAATAGATTCCTGACAATGCCTGTGTGAATAAACAAGACCCCCAGAAACGGCAGTATTTATGATTATCGTCCCCGAATGAAATATTACCAATTGATTATTAATGTTAATGTTTACGTTTTTTATTTCAGGATTGTGATGTGAACTAGGAGGACTGAAATAAGGAAAACTACCAAACAGCTGGAATATACCCCCAGGATGGTAATGGACTTGTCGAGGAATACCTTGGAAATAAGTACTACCGTTTTGATTGGATTTTTCAACGCACTACTGTTGAAATGCATTATACGTGACGAAATATTTAATTGAGGATTGAACCAATTACATGCACTTGTTGCTGTAAATATTTGATCAGGTATGTTCTAACGTGACATCTAGCCAGCTGGATTGGCTAAATCAAAAACGCGAGTGTGATGTAAAAGGAACTCAGGTTGAAATTCAGAACGTTTGGAACACCTTAGAAAATGTTCACCTGTGCGCTACCTCATCCGTTATTATAATCTTGTGTCCGCTCCTACTCATCGTTATGGAAACGTTGGAGTTGGCGGTTAACGTCTTAGGCAACTTCTGGTTCCAGTGCTCCATGGTTAGTAAGGTCCACCGGTAGCCATGGAGAGTTTAGATGAATCTCTGAACGTCTCTGACACACATCCCCATAGTCCATCTGCAACGCGTGTTCTTCTGGTCTGTTTCTTGTACCTGCCTTTTGCCGCTCTGACGGTGACGGGGAATATTTTTGTTCTTGTCGCGTACAAACGGGATGAGAGGATAAGGAAGAATACAACCAATACATACATCCTCAATCTGGCCATTGCTGACCTACTTGTGGGGATGGTCATGCTGATTAACACACCAATGTACGTCACTGACGATTGGTATTTTGGGAGAGTTTTTTGCATCTTCGTCTGGGCGATCGATTTTACGTCAACCGACATGTCAGTCATCACCATCATCGCCATCAGTCTGGATCGATACTTAATGGTGAGGAATACTATTCGACATCGTTTCCATCAGTCGAGGAGGCGTATAGCCCTGGCATTCGTCGTTATTTGGCTTCTGTGCCTTCTTATTCACATGTGTATCGCATTCATTTACTCTGCAAGGACACAGTACAAGTACCTGGCATATCAAACGTGCAATCTGGAATATAGGCGGAACAAGACTTTGGTTATATCTATGTTCTTAGTAGAGTTTGTTGTACCTGTGACGTGCCTCTTTCTACTGAACACGAAAGTATTTATACACATACATCGGCAAGGAAGTAGGATAAAACTACACCAACGCCAGAAAACGAAAACAGTTGATTATAATATTAACTTAGGAAAGGATAAGGCGAGTGGACTTTACGAAACGAATACAATTCATTTAACATCATACAGGGTGCTGTGTATCCGAAATGGAACAACTTACGAGCTACCAACTGGCGTGGACACAGCCGATGGGTCGTCATACGCGCAGACGATACTAACGGTTGACCTCCGCGAGCAGACGCCCGCGCGTAGCAGAGACAATGAAATACGCGTCCATCGATTCGCGAGTGCGCATTCGCGACACCACAAAGCAGCCAAACTTCTTACCGCCTTACTCATCGTGTTTATCATTAGCTGGCTCCCGTACTATATTTATGACTGCATTGTTCTTATAAATGGAGAGGAACCAGCGGACGAGGTCGTGACCCAGGTATTGACCTTTATACTCTGGGGAAACTCTGCCATTAATCCCATATTGTATGCTTTCACTAATATTCATTACAAGCAGAATTTCATGCAGTTTCTACATCTTAGGAAAGGAATGCACGTCATACATGAAAGGCCTACGTATCACTGACCATTTCTCCATTAGCTTAGTAGGCAAAAGGTTTACCAAATTGAAAATTAAGTAATTTGACAGGGTATTCAATTATTTCTACGCCAAAAGGAAATGTAACAATATCAATTCATAAAACGCTGATACTATGCATTTACATCATTCTACTGCGCTGCAATATTTCTTTCTGTGCTGAAAACTGTTATAAGCTGTTAAATGAAAAGATATGATCTTAAGTTTTTATTTTAACCTATCTACAGTACTGTTGGTGATTTGATACTATTCACATACTCTTTCCAGTACTACTTTTAAATAAATACATGTATGTGCTAGATGCAGCGAAGTACTTCTCTTTATGACTTGTGACAAATAAGTGTAAATGCACAGCTTTTTATATTTTACCTGGATAAAATTTTTAAATGTTGGTAATTTGTATTTCCAGATTATAAAATTATTAACAAAGTTCCTTTGCACAAAGCTCCTACATTTCGTTGGTAAAGTGATTAAGCTTCGTTTAAAATGTTTTCCCGCCTTTCACAAACGCTTTATGGCAGTTTGGGACAGTATGGCTTTAAGAATAAATATATTTAATATCATTACAATCAAATTTAAGAAAACAAATTATTCATGTGAATAGATTTAATCATTCCTAGAATGTACGTATATCATGAGAACTATGATCCCAATGCATTACCAGTGTCTCATGTGTACTACACCTGGGAGGTGTTTAACAAAGATTAGGATCGACTTTGGGTGGACTTGAACTATGGCAGGCCATTAAAACTACTGGTTGCTCTCACCATTGGTCTGTCAAGGGACGTCAGAATTCATATTTTGGATACGTGATTATTGGAGGAAAAACATTATCTAAAGATAATAATTTCTAAGATTTCCTCCTCTAACTTTACATATCGTTCAATACTTTTGAAGGGCATAAATCACCTGCCATAGTTCAAGTCCAACTTAAGTTGATAATAGTCGTTGTGAAACACCCCCCCCCCCCCACAATCCTTTCTAGTGTAGAATGTAGCTTAAATACAAGCACATGACCTTATTTAAGGGTATGTGTTAAATATTGCCATCTCTAGGCCAGATTAAAAAAAGACGACAGGTGGCACCTTTAAATGTATCTATAATACGAAACTTTGTACATAATCCATTATACCTCTAGTATTAAAGAAGATGACCAGTTTGGTGTACAGTTTTACTTTCCCAGTCACTGTTCCCACAATTAACCATAACACGTGATACGGGTTAATCTTCCACCAGCTGAGCAGCGCTATTGGATCTATCAATTATTCATGGGCATAATGAAATGCAAATAGTAGTCATCCGTGTCCTGTTATAGGGCTGGTCTGGATATCTTACAACTAAAGGGAAATCCACCCTGATAAAACGATATATGAGGAACAAGTCAATAAAATATTTGAGAAAAATCCAATTAAAAAGTTAGAAAGTTATGAATGTGTGTACTTGATGTGATCAATCTTACACTAATTGGCAACTCTGTGACGTATCTTTTCAGGTTCCCACCCATTTGTTCTGTACTAAAAAAACTCATTAATTTTTATTTTACCTTAATAAAATGTCTAATCATTCGAGCACCCTAAATATAATCATTGCAAATACGTTACTACACAACCCCTGTATGAGAAAAATATTTCTTGTCATCAAAAGTAAGAAAATTAAAGTTTAGGGTAAGTTGCTTCCAAAATGATTGAATATTGTAGTACACAAATGGTGGCTATTTTTCCCAACGTTTTGTACAGCGCACATATGATGTGAAAATGAACGTATAATAAATATCCATAGCTTATTGTGCGTCTTTCCAATTAATTTTCGACAGAATTTGCTTTGCTTATACCCATGAGGCGGTTATTAAAGTCATATACCCGGGGGTTTTAATTAAGTTTACCAGGCGTGCGAGAAATGATTGATACTAAATAGGATGAGGGCCAGTAGGCATAACATATGTATACCATTATCCCATCTATAGAGGATGCAGCATTTGGGAAAGGCCTTCTCTTCAGGCTTATAGACTATCACGAATTATCTACGTTCCTATCTGTTCCTAGTTGAATATATATATATATCAATACTGGTAATGAAATTAAATAATGTCCGATATAGTGTGGCGGATAAATTGTTCGACTATTTGCAAGTGGGCAGAAGGTTTAAGACGTTGATTCATATCAATACTCATTGATAATGTATTATTATAATACACGTATAACATAATACGAACTGCACAAATGGTTATTACTATCTTTTTGTTTTCCTTTTTCACTTTTTGTTTCGGAGGGGGGGGTGGAGCGTGTCAGCCGCCAAAAATGATTTTATCTATCTATCGATTTAATCACTTAACAGTAAACCAATGGTATTTTAATAACTGCTTGTGCTTAGGAAATTAAATACGCTATCAGGAACTTTCAATATGATTGTTAGAGGGTTGTTGAGCTCTTGATGTGCTTCTGTGGGCAAATGGGACGAACGATGGACGGACTCATTCGATTTTTTTGTTACACGTACCATGGACCATACATACACGTACACCGTGTTTGTAACATATACTCTACTCCACGTGGGTGTCACGGATCTCAATGAGTAACAAACAAGGGGGTGTTTCACAAAGACTAAGATTGACTATAAGTTGGACTTAACTATGGCCGTTCATACCACTGTTTGCTCTCACTGTTTACTGGCATTAGTCTCTAATGGGACGTACAAATCATTGTCACAAATCTACAGAAGTTACATTGTTTTGATAATTCATTATTGAAGGAAAAATTATCTTAAGCTCGTAATGGTGAACACAAACAGTTAAAGTCGATCTTAGTCTTTGTGAAACACTCACCTGGTGTTACATGATATTGATTGAAGGGCTAAGCACTACAAACCTCCTTTTCAAAAGCGAAGAAGGCATTTTATTTTAACAAGTGTTGAGTATATTACCTGTAAATGTAATTCTCTTATGATCATACTTTTTATTTCATAGACAAACAGTTTGATATAGGCATTGTGAAAAATATGTATAGAGTTTCGACGTGTCCAAACAGTTACTATTAATCATGAACTTGCTATAATCAGGTCATGACTACAATTTAAGAAAATTGGTATAATTAATACGTTGCCCTTCTCTCTTTCAATATAATACATTTGCTGAAATATGTAATGTCTGCTAATTATGTAACATGCGTAGCTTTAAACTGTAATGGAGTACTATCATATTGCGCCGTAAATTTGGTCAATCCAAATCATTTTTCTATCACAAGTTGTTGTTGTTGTTGTTGTATTTAGGGGGAGGGATTCCGTGGAGCAAATAACTATTAACCCGATACACCACATAGAGTTACCTACTTAACGATGCCCCAAATTACAAGAACAAATTATATTCACCACAGAGTAAACAATATTAACCTACATTTTAAAAATTGGATTTCATGGGCTCACTATAACTAATCCAGATGTTGAACGTAATTGTTACTGGAAAGATTTGTCGGTCCCTTGGAAAAGGAATCATTTTCCCCTTCGTGTAGTGGTTAGTATTATGCGCTTGTAATAGCTGACTATAAACAGGCTTCGTTCTCATATCGCTTGAACGGGGATGCGATTTGTAAAAGTTGAAATTGATATTCTGTTTTCAATAAATGATTAAGCTTACATTTCAATACTGCCGTGCAATTCGTTTTATTACTGTGAAGTAAGGCATAGCCTCATATATCACCTACCCAAATTGTGTCGACCCTTCACAAAAATTTGAATGTTCCCATGTAAGTTTTTACAAAGTGGGGTAATGTGTTTTTTTTAAACATAAGGCTTTCATTAAAGATAAACCTGAGTTCTAGTAAAAAAAAAAAAACGAATTCTCACAGAATCTAATGAAACTTACACTGAATGTTCAAGATTAAAAATAAATGTCATGTGCCAAACAGTTTTGGAAGAAAATGTATACTGGCTGAGTAATGAGCATAGAAAGATAAGGAAATCAGGGTAGTACTAGCCCCCGACACCATGTGTGTTGTCCCATATACATCTATCTGTGTAAGTGATTGTTACTTTACCAAGACTCTGCCAACTTTATGATGATTTTGATGACTCTAGAACCTTGCATTACACACCATTACTTACATGCTATATGATCAACTTTTCTGATCCATTCCACACCTTTTCTTTCACAATGCAATCGCATTACCAGTACTCAAGTTTATCTTTAATAATGACTGATAAAGTTATCTTTTAGTGATGCATTTGTATAGGCACAAAAGATTTATGTCGTGGAAATAATGCAGCATATTCAGGTTATTTCTGAAAAAGTGAGTACTCCCAAATATGATATCATATTTAAATGAAAGTCCATCCTTAATATACAATTACTCTAAAAGAAAAAAGTATTCAGAAAAGCAGACGGGGAAAAAGTTTGAATGAAACGGACAAAAATAACAAAGTTGTAATTTGTTTTAAAGTTGCAATCACTATACATTTGAGGGCTTCAGATTAGCTCAATCGGTAATGTCACTCTGACGTAGTTTCGATTTGATTTCATTTTATCACGTATTACTAGAATGAATTTCAAATACAATGTGGAATTGCATAACGTTAATCTAGGTTAGTCCCATCAAATATACATGGGTATCGATACTTTAACATTATATGCACCTCTAACTTTTCCACTTTCAACTTCTCTTTCTTTAAAAAGGGTCATTTCTGCGTTGATTAAAAGTAGGAATCACTGCCATTGTGAACTTCCTTATAATGCTATCACGCTACCCTAATCATTGTTGTAAGGCTTGTGCTTCGGAAACTATTTTTTTTTTAAGTTACATTAAATTTGGAACTTTAATGATTTAGAAAATGTCCACCGACTGTTCTTGGATAATATATACCTGTAACGCTTTTTAAATCGTGGTATAGTCTAAGTAAAGGAATTACAGGTGACTGTATTCTTCAATCATTTAATAAGGAGCTAGAAGTGAGTTTTACAATAATTGATCAGTTTATTTAACCCATTTACACCGCTCGAGATTTTTAAGGAATTGATTCCTGCCAGGTACCCATTTACCTCACCTGGATGGAGTGTGGTAAATGTTGATTAATGTCTTGCGAAATCAGATAAGAGGTAAAAGGATTCGAACCCCGTTTCTTGTAGTTCACAGTCCGGAGACTTATCCACTGAACCACAACACCTCTAATCAAATGAAAATCCAATCGACTTTATATTTTCCCATTTTATTGGATTGTCACGATTCCTGTCTTTAGGCTACACCTTTATCTGTGGCTGAGAGCTTGAACATCAAATTAAATTTCATATTTGAAAAATTATTACATATTCTAATTTTTCTCCCATTATATATCACTTTTTGTCACAAATCTACAGAAGTTACATTGTTTTTGATAATTCATTATTGAAGGAAAAATTATCTTAAGCTCGTAATGGTGAGCACAAACAGTTAAAGTCGATCTTAGTCTTTGTGAAACACTCACCTGGTGTTACATGATATTGGTTGAAGGGCTAAGCACTACAAACCTCCTTTTCCAAATTGAAGAAGGCATTTTATTTTAAAAAGTGTTAAGAATATTACCTGTAAATGTAATTCTCTTATAAATACTTTTTATTTTATAGACAAACAGTTTGATATAGGCATTGTGCAAAATGTGTACAGAGTTTCGATGTGTCCAACAATTATTATTAATCATGAACCTGATATAATCAGGTCATAACTACAATTAAAGAAAATTGGTAAAATTAATACGTTGTCCTACTCTCTTTCAATTTAATAAATTTGCTGAAATATGTATTGTCTGCTAATTATGTAACATGCGTAGCTTATGCAATAAACTGTAATGGAGTACTATTATATCACGCCGTAAACTTGGTCAGTCCAAATCATTTTTCTATCTTTTGTTCTGGTTCTTTCTTTTTTTTTTGGGGGGGGGGGCAGTGGGTTTTGTGGGTTTTTCGGTTTGCTCATGATTAATAAAAACCCATCTTTTAAAACAACTGCCAAGATGCTTTTTTAGAACGTGAAATGAAGAGAAAGTAATTATTAATCTGATACACCACATAGAGTTACCTACTTAACGATGCCCATAAATTACAAGAACAAATTATA